TCCACTCGGCCTGGAGGACCTCGGCAGGCCGCCCAGCATCCGCGCGCCGCTCGCGGCCTCAAGGGGGTCTGTGCAGGGCGCCGGCAGTTCGTCCACGCCGTCCAGAATGGACAGCAGCCGCTTGGACTGCGCTAGCATCTGCCGCACCGGCGCGTTGCGGTCGGGGCACTGGTCTAGGGTCAGGTCGGCCAGGCTGCACGTGCGCGGTCGCTCCAGCACCTCGCGGCAAGACACAAAGGAGGCGAAGTCCACCTGGCCGTGGTACAGCTTCGCCCGCCGCCCAGTCGTACAGGATTTTCCTGGCCGCCATGGTCTTGCCGATGCCCGCCGGGCCCTGCAGCACCACGGTCGGCGGCCTCTGGCCCTCCCCGTCGCGGCCGAGCAGGCGGTTGAAGGTGTGGGTGTCGGATCGCCGAGCGCGCTCCGGCTCCGGCTCTTCCGCGGGCCCCGGAGCCTCGTGCTCCAGGGCAGCGCTTTCGGGCTCGATGAGCAGTTTGGTGAAGCGCTCGCTCATCTTCACGGAGCGAGCGTCACTCCTTCACCTTGGCGTGCTGCCGCAGCACGTGCTCTCGGTATCTCTTCTTGTACTCTTGGGGGCAGGGAAGGGCTGGACAGAGGAGAGGGGAACAGGGGGTCGAGGAGGAGGAGGGCTGTGTCGGCCGACTTTCAGGGGCCTGTTGCCCTCCCCGCCGGGCTCAGACCTCAGTTTCCCCTGTTGCGCCACAGTCCCCCTCCCATCCGCGCTCCTTCCTGGGACCAGCTGTCAGAAACCTCAGAGTGACTTCGAGGACACTCGTACTCCAAACCCAGGGCTCAAGGCCCGGACAGCTTGGGGCCCGCGCCTCCCGCCGAGAGAGACCTACCGGACACGGAGAGCAGCGCCGAGGAGCTGGGGCCGAGCCCTGGAAGGGAGGACTGCGGTGAGGCCCCGCGGACTGTGCGGTGCGGGGAGGGGCGCAATCAGGGGTCGGGGCCGCCCGCAGGATCGGAGCCCTGGAGCCCGCGAATTTGTGGATGAAGCGCGCCCAGGCCGGAAGAGCTCCGGCGCTTTTCTGGGGAAGCGGAAGGATGGAGGCCTGTGGCCAGGACGCTGCCCAGGCGGGAGGGAACGGAGGGCGGGGACCCTGGCGAGCCCCACCCCGCGCTCACTCCGCAGCCGCTGCTCCTTGAGCCGCGCCGCCACATCGCGCACGCCCGCCCTCTTCAGGGTTTTTCGCGCCGCGTCCAGCGCGCGCTCCGCCCCGTCGAAATGGATCGGGTGCTCCGCGAGGTCCACGGCGTCCGCGCCCTCCAGCCGCCCCCACGGTTTGCGACGGCCGTGCAGCGGCGCGTCCCGCAGCTTGTGGCGGAAGCGCTTCAACCGCTCCTGGCTTAGGTCTTCGAGCGGAGCCAGGAGCAGCTCCCGGGCGGCGGCAGCGCGGGGCTCCGTGCTGAGGGCGGGCGCACGGGGTTAGCACGCGCGCCGTGCCCCGGTGACCCCGGCCCCTCCCCGTCGCTCCGGACCCCAGCCCTGGGCGCCCACGAGCGGCAGGGGCTTAGACGCGGCCCCCATCCATCCAGGCGGCTCCAGGCGACGCTCGATAGCGCCTCTACCGGTAGGTCGCCCTCTCCTCCCAGAACCCCTACCGAGGACTTCGCTCCAAGGCGTCCGAAGCTTTGGGCGGGCACTGGCCGCCGCTGACCCGAGTTAGGGGGTGCCTTCCTGCTCCGCACCTCCCTTTCTCCTCATTCTTTCCCCCGCGTCCAGGTCAAACGTCCAAGATAAGATGTCTGCCAGGGCCTGTGCTCTCCCCTTTCCTCCTTTCCCTCCGTTTTCTTCCCCAGGAGCCCGGGGCAGCTGGCCTCAACAGGGAGCTGGACTCACCACATGGTCCAGGCTGTGTTCCGGAATTCCCCAGGACATCCGTGCTCACTGGATCCTTCGGTGAGGCCCAGCCTGAGGGCCTTGCACCAGAGGCTGAGACTGAGCCCCTGGTGGGGGACAGACTCCACAGATGCCCTCTGGGGGGATGGAGTCCCTAGAATACTGGGGTACAGCAGGGGAAGGATGTGTGAAGGACACGGGGCGTGAAGCCCCAGGAAGGCAGCAGGGGGAGGTGGAGGACCCAGAGGGCTGAGGCCAGCCGATTCCCAGCGACCGATTCCCAGCGACCGCTCTGAAAGTCGGCACTCACCCAGAGCGGGAGCCTCTGGCTGGTCTCCAGAGTCTGGCCCCGAGGTCTAGCACTCAGGGGCAGAGGTGGGGATCAGAGAGGCGACCCCTCCCTAGCCTGACTGGAGCCATAGCCTGGGGGCATTGTCCGGCCCCGTCCATGCCCCCAGACCCAGGTGCTCTAGCTCGGCCAGCACTGAGATGTCTGTCCAACAGTCACCAAGCTCCCAAACTCAGGCCCTGTGGCACCTTCGCATGACTCGTGTTTAAGAGCTCTGCTCAGTGACCTTTGGTTTTCTACTGTTCCTTTATTCAGTTCACGCTCTCTGAGAACCCATGGCGTGTGGCAGCGAGGCATGGTTGTGAGAAGTAACTGCAGAGCAAGGTGGGCTGCATGGAGGAGGTGGCTGGCTCAGAACAAGACCTTCAACTTTAAGGCCTCAAGATTGGTTAAATTCTGAAGGCAGGGGTGAGCGAGGGCTTCCTAGGTAGAGGGGGCAAAGGAGGGACATACACAGTGTCACTGGGGAAAGGAAGGCTGTCACCCGGGAGCCAGGAGAAAATGGGACAGGGAAGTGCTCTGTGACCTCCCAAACCTGGCTTAAGCAGGCTGATGGGAAGAGCTTTGGACATGGGGCGTGTGTGTGACTGATGGGTGACCACGTGGGACCCCATGAATGTGGGTTTCTACTGACCGTGTCTGCCTGTGTGCAGTGTGGGTGTGTGTGTATGTCTGTGTCTGTTGGTGTGGCCACCCTAATACTGTGTTTGCGTAAATGTATCTATGGTAGGCTATATAATAGTCCCCAAAGATATCAGCTCCTAGTTCCTGGAACCTGTGAATGTTCCCTGAAATGTCAAAAGGGGCTTTGCAGGTGTGGTTAAATTCAGGATCTTGAGATGGGGAGATTATCCTGCATAGTTATTATTGAATGTCATCACAGTGTCGTAGGATGGAGATGGGGCGCTTTGGCACACAGGCAGAAGGCAGTGTGACACTGGGGCAAGAGGCCAGGCTGCTGGCTTTGAGGATAGAGGAAGGGGCCACGAGGCAAGGAGCACAAGGAACACAGCACTAGAAGCTGGAGATTCAGCTGGAGAAGGAAGACATTCTCCCCCGGGGCCTCTAGAGGGAGAGCGGCCGAGCCATCACCTGGGCCTCAGCCGAGTGAAGCTGACTTTGGACTTCTGCCCTCCACGACTGTAAGAGAATAAATGTGTGTTGTTTTCAGCCGCCGAGTTTGTAGTAATGGCTAAGCAGCCACAGGAAACGAACACAGTATGTCTCTGAGTGTGCATTTCTGTGAGAGTGTGTCTGCAAGAACAGGGGCTGCGGCCTCATCACTGCCTTTCAGGCTCCACAGGTCATCCCTGTGTTCAGTCCTGCTTCCTTCAGGAGCCTTGAGAGCTGCCCAGAGTCCTGGGAGCCTCTGTTCTGCTGCCCCTTCCCCAGGAGGAAAGGGTCCACAGAGATGCCCATTCTACCTACGAGTTTTGTTTCTATTTAAGACAGACAGTCCCCACCTCTCCCCGAGGAAGGCGCAGGGAGAAGGGGAAAGCTCTGTCTATCCGCACTCACACCTCCCCCAGGACACCCTCCTTGCTCTTTCCTGCTCCTAAACTCCTGCTGCTGCCCTCCACACGGGCAGCCTCCTGGGCACAGAGCAGGATGGGTGACGGGAGAGCCTGGAGGACACACTGCCAGCACACTTCCTGGTGGGAGGGGCACTCTGTGCTTTTTAAAGAACATGAACAGGTCTCTCTTGTTCCCACAGAGGCCTGAGAGGACGGAGCTGTGTGCCTGCGTGGTGTGTTGGAGCAGCCCCACCTGGGCCAGGCCCAGAGCAGGGACGGGACCCTCCCTCCAGACCACAGTGTGGGCAGCGCCCAGCAAAGCAGAGGAGGGGGCAGGGTCTCCGAAGAGTTAGGGTCCTGGAGACAAGCCCTGAGCAAAGTCTGGCCTCAGCTGCCAGAGGGACGACTGCTGTGAGCCCTGTGTGGGGTTCCAGATGCTTCGACTTGCCCCTGAGTTAGCTCCTCTGACACGCTGGGATTCTGCAGAGCGGGCTTTGCCAGGGAAAGCAGCAGCCTAGACCACAAAAGCAGATGTTTTAGAGCTCGACTGAGGACAGAATCTGGCCCTGCACAGTGCTGGGTCATCGCGGGGTCCCTGGCCACAGCCCCATCCTGAAGACCCGGTGCGGCCCTCACTGATCCCCTCATTGAGCCCTGAGATGCTGCACAGACAGATTTCGCACACAGGCCACGGCTGTGTTTCTCCTAAATGCACATTCACTTTTCTCTCTCCACAGTATGAACTTGTTTTTGCGGTATGCGGGCCTCTCACTGTTGTGGCCTCTCCCGTTGCGGAGCACAGGCTCCGGACGTGCAGGCTCTGTGGCGATGGCTCACGGGCCCAGCCGCTCCGCGGCATGTGGGATCTTCCCAGACCGGGGCACGAACCCGTGTCCCCTGCATTGGCAGGCGGACTCTCAACCACTGCGCCACCAGGGAAGCCCTATATATTTATATAAAATTATATATAAACATACACACACACTCCCCCATGGCAAACTACTTTATAACCTAGAGTACAGTGCTTATTTGCAGTTTCTTTTGCCTTTATTCTTACAGACTCCACTCATTTAAAAAAAAAATTTATTTATGTATTTATTGTGTTTGCTGTGTCTGGTCTTGGTTGTGGCGTGAGGGCTCCTCTCTAGTTGTGGCACCCAGGCTCAGCAGTTGCAGCATGTGGGCTTAGTTGCCACGCGCCATGTGGGATCTTAGTTCCCCAACCAGGGATCGAATCCACATCACCTGCATTGGAAGGTGGATTCTTAACTACTGGACCACCAGGGAAGTCCCAGACTCCACTCATTTCTGAAGTTACTTAAGTCACCATCTTTCCCCCACTCCCTTCCCTGAGATTCATTCGTACATATGCAATATGGTTAGATTCTTTCATGACATATACTGCATTAGTCCTTGGATCCCCTGACATCCCAAGCGGTATTTTTAGTTTGCAGACATTAATGTTCACTCTTTGTGCTGTAAAGTTCTATGAATTTTGATAGGTGCATAATGTTGTATATCTACCTGGTGCCCAGATCCTGGTTTCTAGTGTCATTCACCAATAAAAGAGACCAGGGTTCCTTGGCTTATTCTAGCACTGGGGCAGAAAATATACAAGGTGAGTCTGGAGCAGTTTACAGTGCCAGTAAGTAAGAAAGTGTTCAAAACAAATTAAAAAAAAAAAACATAAAAACTCCATAATGAAAAGGGTATATGCCAAAGGGACACAGAAGCCAGAAGAAAGAACTCCCAACATCAAATCTGGGAACATTTGAGCAGCAGAATGAAGTGCTATTGATTATAATCCAAGAGGCATAAGACAAATACCCGTGAGTCCATATACTGATGATAGTCTGTGCCCTTGACATGATGTGACGAGAAGGGTGCTTTACCACTGTGGTCGTCCTCCCAAACCCCATAACCCCAGAGAATCCTGAGAAAAACAGGAGACGAGTTCCAATAGAGGGGTACCCTGTGACATACCTGAACAGTTCTCTTCAAAACCGTCCAGGTCATCAAAGACAAGGAAAGCCTGCGAAACTGTCATAGCCCAGAGGAGCCTAAGGAGATGTGACAAGTGACTGTCATGTGGGGCCCTGGATAGGGTCCTGGAATAGGAAAAGGACATCAGAGGGAAACTGAGGAAATATGGATAAAGTATGGACTTTATTTACTTAATAATGATGTATCAATATTGGTTCATTGATCGTGACAAGTGTAGCATACAGTTGTATTAGTCAGGGTTCTCCAGAGAAACAGAACTAACAGGATATAGATATGGGTAGAGATTGATTATAAGGGATCGGCTCACATGGTTATGAAGGCTGAGAAGTCCTGAGAGCTGCAGCTGGAGAGCTGGACTCAGGACACCCGACTGTTAGCTCCGTCCTGAGAGCCGGCAGGCTTGAAACCCTACAAGAGCTGATGTTTCCATTGAGTCCGAAGCTAAGAAAAGACCGATGTCCCAGACTAAGCAGTTGGGCAGGAGTCCCTCTCACTCATGGGAGGGTCAACTTTTTGTTCTATTCAGTCCTCCGACTGCGCAAGGCTCACCCTCATTTTGGAGGGCAACTTGCTTTACCCAGTCCACCAAATGTTAATCTCCCCCAGAAACACCGTCACAGATACACCCAGAACAATGTTTGATCAAATATTGGGCATCGTGGCCTAGCCAAGCTGACACATAAAATTAACCATCACACCGAGAGAACTGTGAAAATGCCCTACCGACTGGCACCAGTGTTCCTCTGTGGGCACGTCCCGTATGAAGAGGGTAGAAGCTGAGTTTCAGAGGAGAGGCGGGCAAAGCAGGGAGCTGGGAGGAAGCGGGCAGCCCGCCTCTCACAGAATCTCTAGCCGTGAGCTTCAGCTTCGGTAAGTTCTGCAAAACCTAAGAAGTACTTAGTGGAAGTGTGTTTTTGTAGATTAAAGGAGGGGGCTGAGTTTTGCAACCTGGATGAGATTTTAATTTTTCGGAAAGTGCTCACTTAGTTTTGAATGAAGTTATGAAGCATAAAGTTTTTATATGACATGAAAATGGTTCTCAAACTTGATTGTGCATCAGAATTCCCTGGGTGGGGGAACTTCTTATAACAGATGACTGGAACCACCCGGGAGTTTCTAACTGATTTCTAACAAGTTCCCAGGTGATGCTGCTGCTGCTGGTCTAGAGACCACACTTTGAGAACCTGCGTTTTATGTGGTGAAAATAGATTTCCAATGTGATAAGAACAAGATGCGAATGTTTGCATTTGTGTGCATTTTTTCTGGGTCCTTGATGCTAAAAATGCCTGCTGCAGAGGGCGGTGCCACATGGTCAGTGCCTTTCTTCAAGAGCTTCTGTGGTTCCAAGTGTGGACACAGGGTGGTGCCATGTGTTAACAGTGTCCACCCCAGACCTTCCAGGTGGCCTCGCAGCTTTGCAGGGAAGGGTGTGCACAGTGGCTGGTCTACCCCCCATCCCCGCCTCTCCCCACCCATGGGCAGCAGGGAGAGGTCTAGGGTCTAGATCTAGATCAGAGCTGGATCCATAGATATGTGCTGAGGATGAACGAGGGACACTTCTGTCCACCAGAGCCCTGGAGAGCTCTCGCTAACCCTAACCTGTCCAGGACAGGCCAGAATAGGCCTGGCTGGCCCCAAGCCCTGTTCCCTCTCCATGGCTCAGTTTGTCCAGCTGTTA